TATGTTTTGATGAATGCAATGACATATACTAAATCAATATTATTTGGTAGGATGTTGCATTAGCATCGTCATTGGTGAGACCAACCTCTCTGTTTATGGAAGATCTATCAAAGGTGAAGTATTTCACGGACGAAGGGTATGGATCAGTGAAGAAAGTTTATATAATCTGCACTGAGGATAAAGTATCACCAAAAGAATTCCAGCAATGGCAAATTGACAACAATGGAACCGTCATCGAAGCAAAGGAGATCAAAGGTGCTGATCATAAGGCAATGCTATGTATGCCCAAACAACTTTGTGACACTCTCTTGGAGATTGCCCATAAATACAATTGATCCATCTCAACATCTTCTACTCTTTTGAATAATTAGTTGTTGCTTTCAACTTGAAAAAACATATGATTGTGCTGTTTTTTATGTATTGAAGAATGTGTGATGAGATAATTGAACTGTGTCAATTCACGATTTCCTTTTACAACTTTTTCTGTGTTATGTCCACTCATTGTTGCTTTCTCTAACATGACTTGTGAAGTATAAAAAGATGAGAGCAGTTAAAATTTACTCAAAAGATTAGAAAACCCAGAGCACAATGCTAAAAGGTGTTTGATATTTGTTCTGTTTTACCTGCATAACTATAGTTGATAATAAGAGGAAATTAGAAAGTATAAAATTATTTGTTCACAATCTAAAATGGAAATTTAACAAGTTATAAAAAAAAATAAAAAAAAATTGAATAAGTTATTGGTATGATTATAGAACTCATAATTCTATTTAACGTGTGTTTTTCTTGTTCCAAAGAAAGATCGTGTGTTTTAGTACTCCTTTTTGGATTGAGAAGAAATCTCTTTAAGTAGGGTTTCTTCCATCCTAGAAATAAGGGTTCTATATGATACTTGTCCAACCAAGTATTGAGAAAGTTGGGGTGTGAACTTGGAATCACTATAGAAGATCGCAAAATTGGAGTCTGATTTGCTTGAAGATATATTCAGGGGTGGACCCCCGTGGGTTCCAGGGGATTCACCCGAACCCCCTCGGCAAAACATTACATTGTATATATAAGGTAAATTTTCTGCATCTATGTAAATATATTAATTTTGAACCCCCTTATGAACCATAAGTAAGTTGTAGCGTAGTGGTAGATCTCCTTTAAATTAACCCCTCAAGTCCCAGGTTTGAATCACATTGTGAACATTTTATTTTTTTAGCTTCTCTTCATTTAGTTTCAGGATCAAGCTTTCACTTTTTTTTTGAGTTTCTCTTCATTTAGCTTCAGGACCAATCTTTCACGTTTTTTGCTTCTTCTTTTTTAACAAAAAAATGTGCTAAAAGAGTAGATTTAAACTCAAAAAAATTCAAACCTGCTTAAAGGTCTCTTGTAACGAAACTAACTTTTTGTACCTATAAACTAGATACTATTACTTCTTGAAATTGTGTTTTGTTGACTTATTAACACGTTTATACTTCTATTTTTCGAACCCCTGTATGAAAATACTAGATCCACCACTGGATATATTTGCTCATGCTTGAAGAGGTATTTCTCGACTTAACAATAGTCAACATCAACAATAAACTCAATGAAATCTCATAAAATGGATTCTGGAGAGGATAGAATATACGCAAACCTTAACGCACTATCTATGCGAGGTAGAAAGACTGTTTTCGAAAGACTCTTGGCTCAAGGAAATAAAAACAATAATTAGAAGAAAAATATGACAGCTAACATATATACAAGAAACAAGGTGCCGTCACCTAAACAGTATAAACCACATGTGATAATACCACACTGCCCACCAAACCACTATATAACCCATCTTAGAGTTCAACTGACTTAAAAGACTAAACCAAAGGAAAAGTTTCACAAAGGCCTGAAAATGGAACCTATCAAGAAACAAGGAAGACACTTTGTTTTGGTACATGGAGGTTGGTATTGGTACAAGCTAAAGCCCCTGCTAGAGGTTGCAGGCCACAAGGTAACAACTCTAGACTTGGCAGCCTCTGGGATTGATTTGAGAAAAATAGAGGAACTTCACACATTTCATGATTACACTTTGCCATTGATGGAATTGATGGAATCTCTTCCACAAGAGGAGAAAGTCATACTAGTAGGACATAGTTTTGGTGGTATGAATTTGGGACTTGTTATGGAAAAATACCAACAAAAGATCTATGTTGCTGTTTTCTTGGCTGCCTTCATGCCTGATTCTATTCACATGTCTTCCTATGTCTTGGATCAGGTGAATAATATATACATACCTTTTTCACTTTCCTTACATGTGAGTTTAGAATTTAGAGTCGTAAATTATGTTATTTGCATGTATATATATAAAATCAATTTAGAGTTACTGAATTTTGTCTTTTAAAAGTCATTCAATTTTAACTAGCTAACTTTCATGGTCATGCTATTTTATTATATATAGATTTTTATAGTCATAAAAATATAATTTCACTATATATTTAATGGTGTGAGAGCCCATTTCTATGAGCGAATGAGTCCCATACTTATTTATTATTAAAAAAAATCTATTCATAATAATTTAAATTTATTCATCCAGTCTTTTCTATGAATTTTCAGAATCTATGGATAAATAATTACACCCCAATAAATCATGATAAGTCCATCTAACTTTCTATTAAAATGCTATAGTTGATTTTGGATCATCAACATGTCAAGACTTGAATTCAATAATTTGTAAATGTACTATAGACTTATTTGCACCTGCGAAATTTGTCATTAAAATATGAGATAGAAAGCCACTCAGCGGTTACATCATTATTTCTTCACGTGTGTCCCACCTACCTTTTAATATAATTTTCTAAAATACATTATTTCTCCACATTTGTCGAATTGTGGCTCTCGCTTTTTTTTTTAGTGGGGTAGGGGGAGGTTAATGATATTTTTGTGTATATATGGATTTGCTAATCTTAAGTTGTACCACCTACTTTTAAATTTTCTAAAATACCCCTAAGAATTCATTGCAACATATTAATAAAAGAGAATTTTTCGGTCTTTTCGCAAATAATTAAACTTCACTTTTATTATTTGGTGTCCGATTTTTCATCGTCTGTGATATGTCCCTCTCCATTGTTTCTACGATCTTCTTCTCCATGATCACTCACCCCAGGTCCCTCATCTTCCCGTAGAGGAGTCAAAAATTTTATTAAAAGTGTCTAATAATAATGGTGTGTGACTGTCAAAAAAAATATATATATATTATGCTAATTGGGGTTCAAACTTAGAACTACTTCATTCAAATAGACACCTATTACTATTACGCCAAAGGCATAACTTTTGTTAAGGGTGTCTAACTTTAAATATATATCATTTAAATGTAGAATTTGACATTTATATACAACGTAATTTTTCTGACGAAAAGTGTCCAATTAGATACTTTGGGATAGCTATAGCTACGCCCCTGACCCCCCACCCCCCAGTTCTTATATAATTTAGCAAACAATTCCTAGGTGTTTTCGTATTTTCACAGTAGCAGTTTTTGGAAATGACTGATTTTGAAGTCCAATATCTGAGCATCTTCAATCCAGGCAGAGACGAATCTAAAATTTAAATTTGAGTCTGACAAGTTAAAGTTTTATCATAAAATTAAATTAAATGTGTATATCAGAGCTAGCAATAGTTGATGATATAACAAAATAATTTTAAAAAATAAATAAATTTAATATTATTAATTTTGAATGCATCTGCTGAGCTTCAATTTTTTTTCTATCTCAATTTTTCACTGCCTTATGTTTTTCTCAGGGTAATTCAATTTTGAAAAAAATATCCATATAGTTTCTCTACTTTTAATCATTCACCGTAGAGCTCTGAAAAAATATCCATATAATTTTTCTAGTTTTAATCATCCATTTCTTTCGAATTTTCTTCAGTCTTTTTTTTTTTTTTTTTTTTTTTTTTTTTTTGTCGATTGTAATAATTTTGATAAATGATAAACCGTAAATAATAGGTGAATTTAAAATATGTGATCTTGATATGATGAAGTTAGATGTGATTAATCTGTTAGTTAGAAAATAAAACAACACTATTTATGTTGGTTGTGAATGATTGTTTTATTCACAAACCCAAATTTATTGTGATTTTGTGAAGTATTTTGAGAGGATGCCAACAATAAATTGGTTGGACACCCAATTTGTGTCATATGGTTCCCCTGAAGAGCCTCTGCCATCCATATTTTTTGGGCCCAAGTTCTTGGCTTACAATCTTTATCAATTATGCTCTCCTGAGGTAAGCTTTATTTAAGCTCGTTGGAATATTTTATTTAGACATTCGAACTAAGTTTTGTTTTAATTTAATATCTTAATTCTTAATAAAGTGTTCTGTTTAGTTATTTCCAGTATAAATTTTGGGGGGAAAAATTGTTTGTGTTCTTATTCGTCTATTAGATGGTTAAGTTAACCATACAAAATATGTTTATCTCCTTTAATTACATGCATCAACCTCAAGTAAAAAATATAATCAGAGGTTTTATGACTTATTAAGGTGAATACGTATAATTAAAAAGGAGATGACATATTTTATGTGATTAAACTTAACTACCCAATACATGAATTTAAAAGTTTTTTTCGAAATTTGAATAGAAAGTGTCCAATTGGAATATGACTTAATTCGAGTGTCTAAATGAAATATCCTGACAAGTTTAAGGAGTTGATTATGTATTAAGTTTTTATAATACACATACTATATGAGTAATCATACATTTGAAATTATTTTATGCAAATTTAATATACAAACACTAATTTCAAATCTAAAGTAATATTTTGAATGATAATGTGGTACTCAGTGGTAGGATCTTGCATTGGCATCATCATTGGGGAGAGCAAGCTCTCTATTCCTAGAAGATTTGTCAAAGACAAAGTATTTCACAGATGAAGGATATGGATTAGTGAAGAAAGTTTATATAGTATGCACAGAGGATAAACTCATACCAAAAGAGTTTCAAAAATGGCAAATTGACAACATTAGCATCATAGAAACAAAGGAGATTAAAGGTGCTGATCATATGGCATTGCTAAGTATGCCCAAACAACTTTGTGACACTCTCTTGGAGATTGCCCATAAATACAATTGATCCATCTCAACATCTTCTACTCTTTTGAATAATTAGTTGTTGTTGCTTTCAACTTGAAAAATAATTACTAGATGGGTTCTTGATTGTGTTGTTTCTCTATCTATTAAGTGTGTTTAAACATAATTGAATTATTTGATTTGAGTAATGTGAGATCAATATTAAAGAATAAAAGTTACTACTCATTTGCTTGATTTTGCTTCAAGTTATTGGTCCGATTTTTGTATCAACGAAACATATATTGAAAATTACCTATCCATCCACGCGCTAGCAGGTAGTGACTTATCTATGTGATTCGTTACGCTGTAAATTATTAACTACATATTTGGTGAATGGTGAGGAAGTGGTTAGCTGTAACACCCCAGAAAAAAAATTCAAACTAAGACTCGAATCGTTCTTCGTAGTGAGTGAGATTTTTGCAAGAAATTAAAATTTTCTTTAAGTGTTAAGGTTACTAGATGTAGCACCTTGAGTTTCAAAAAGAATTAAATTGGAAATAGCAAAATCTGAAATTTTGCAAGTTAAGTTAAGTATGAGTTTTGGGTCGATTTCAAACAACCATAACTTCTAGCTCAAGATGAGTTAGGTGTGATACCAGATACCGTAGGTAAGATCTTTGAATTATCTTTCCAACGCCACCGAGTTTGCTCGTTTCGAGTTCGTATGAAGGAGATATGTACATTCGAAGTTGGGTTGTCTAGATAAGGAAAGTCAAAACCGGATTTTAGAGGGGTATTTTGGTCTTTTCCTTTACTCAATCAGATTTAATTCATTTTTAGTAATATTTTAGGGGTCTAATATGAATAGGTTCAGTTTAATAATCCTAGTTTACGCCCAGGGTTTTAGTTGAGAGTTCAAGAAGAGAGAAGAAGAGAAAAGAGAAGGGATCGAAGCATTCGTCGAAATTCTTGAGAGTTATTGCGGATTGTCGCCATGGGTTTGATCCCTAAGAGGTATGTAAGCTTCCATAGTGTTAGGTTTGTTCACCCTCACGTCAAACATATTATTTTCAGCGAAGTTTCATTCTCAAAAGTTGAAGGATTTAAGTTCTTGATAGGTGTTCTTGAAGTTCATTCTAAATCTTGATTTGTTGGGGTTTTGATGATTTCTTGAGATGAAAGTGATTGTTTTGAGTGGATTAGTGTGTACTTAGGTTGGGTAATTGAATCTAAGGAACATTTGAGAAAATAAATCGATTAAAAGCGATTTAAGGTCAGAAAATGAGAGGAAAAGTTCGTCAGTTTTGGGTAATGCTGGCGCGACGCGCCCTCGTTGTGCCAAGAAAGCTGGGGCAACGCGCCAGCAGTGCACCAGAAACGAGCCCTAGTAAATTGGGGCCTGGCGCGGCGCGCCAGGGATGCGCTTGGATTGGCATTTTTCACCAGTTTTTCGTCGTTTAGCCTATTTAAGTTATTCTAAAGTGTCCTAACACCTTCCATTGATTCTAACTACTCTAAATGACTTCTAAACACCTAGAAATCATCCATGAACATGAATCATAACCTTGAATCAATAATTCATAATTCAAATTCAAGGTAGAGTTGAGAGTTAAGTTTTGAGAATTCCTTCGAACATTCTAACAAAGTTCCTTTGAGTCTTTTTGAGGAGTCTTCCACAAATTTAAATAACTTGTTTCAAGACTCGAGTAAGTGAGCATGAGAGTGAGGAGAATATATTCATGAGTCTATTTTGTCATCATGAGATCTTTCATATCATGAACCATAACTCTTGAATTCATAATTCACATTCAAGAGAGAGTTAAAAGTAGAGTTCAAGAAAGCCTTTGAGTTCAATTGTGAATCCTTTGAGATCAACTATCGATTTGAACTAAGTTTTGAGGAAGTAAGTCAGAGAATAAGAAGAGTCGTATACATGAGTTCCATATAGTTATGTAGACCATCGAGTCGAGTTGTTTCATGTCCATACTTTCGCATGAACTTCGTAAGTTGAGCATTTTTCAGAAAAGTGGTATCTTCAAGTTCTAAGCCTTTAAGTGTTGAGTTCCTAATCCCTTTTGGGAAGTCTCTTTGAGTCCTTGAGTTGAGTAGTTCATGCTCATAAATTCCGCATGAACCCTCTGAGTTGAGCATTCTTGAAATGATTAGTATCATTGAAGTTCTTGAGTTCCAAGTATTGAGTTCTATCTATGGTTATTGAAAACCTTGCATTGAGTCGTTCACGTCCATAAATCGGCATGAACCATATTTTAAGAAGTCTTTTACAAACATTTTAACTTTGTTTTAAGACTTAAGTTTTGAGTTAAGCAAAGAGTAAAGAGTTGAAGTTCATTTCTTCAAAAGTATATGGGGACTAAGTATTCCTAAAGAGATTTAAAAATGTTTCACATTTAAATAAGAACGGAAACTGAGATTTCCAAAGAGCCTTCGGGCTAGTTTTCAGAAAAGAGTAATTACTTTCTAAATGAAGCAAGAGAGGAAACTGAGATTTCCAAGATAGCTTTTGAGCTAAGTTTTTTTTTAGCACTAATCTCAAATCACAGAAAGAAGTATGTTTTTAAAACATAAAGAGTTAGTATATTTTGGGAGTAGTATTGAGCACCGATATGGGGGAGAGTTCAGATAACTCACAACCCCCATAAACCATGTAGCCATCATGGGTAAAAAAGGGTCATACTTTTCAGATGAATCATTTTCGCATAGACTAGTGGATCCACTTAGTAGTTCAGGTCCTATACATTTGGTCGGGTATAGGATGCGCTGACAGCGTGAGGAAGATCGTTATATCATCACAATAGCTCTTATGTGATGGTTGTCGGTTAGAAAAACTCCCACAAAAGTTGTTGTATTCTTATATACACAGTTAATTGTATTTTTACATACATGTCAGAGTTATGTTGTATCCTTGCATACACACAGAGTTGACAACATGTTTTTAAACAGTTTGTTTTTTTATATTGCACTTGTTTTAAACTGCTTTATATTGAAATAAGTTCAGTTAAGTATCAAGAGTTGAATATTTCGAGTTGAGTACCCTAAGTTGAGTATCTTGAGTTGATCTGTGCTTCATTGAGTCGAGTATCATATCTTTGAAGTTGAGTATCTAATCTTTGAGTTGAATATCTAATCTCTGAGTTGAGTATCTTATCCTTGAGTACTTCTGAGTTGAGTAAGTTGAGTAGTTTTAAGTATTCCTTGAGTTGAGTAAGTTTGAGAAGAGGTAAGTATATTCCTTTTTATCAAAGTTCAAGCTTATGTTTATGTTTTAGAATTCCTCTTACATGTTCGTACATTCCACGTACTGAGTCATTTGGCCTGCATCTTCTCATGATGCAGACACAGGTATTCAGGATCATCAGCATGAGCTTCGTTGATACATCCGAGAGTTCGAATTAGCTATGGTGAGCCTCCTTGCTTCCGGAGGATTTCATTTACCTTTCAGTTATATCAGTTGTTAGGATGTCGTGGGTCTTGTCCCGACTTTCATTTTTATCAGTTAGAGGCTTCATAGATAGTCAGTATAGTTGAGAAGTCTGTATTATTCATTTATTTTATTAAATGTTTTAAAGACTTAAGTTGCCTATTTTATAGTGAGTTGAATATATTATTTTTATTCAAAGTTTTCTTTTGAGTTAAAACTTTGTATTTGAGTTATTGAATTTATTCAATTTTTAGCTTTGTATGCTTGAATCAGTTTTCCGCTTGTAGTCAGCCATGATGAGGGTTCGCTTGGGGACCAACAATGGTCTTCGAGTGCCGGCCACGTCCAGGGTGTAGACTCGGGTCATGACATTAGCTATGCATTTTCTTGTATCAATCTCCTGTGCAAGACCGTGAAATCTTAGTACGTACGTAGCAATTCCAAGATAATTAATCCAGGGTGGAATAAGTTATTCCAGGATAGCTAATTCCAGGATAATTAATCCTGGAATAACTTGCTACCAACCAAACGATTATAGATTGACAGCATTAAGAGAAATAATGAGAAGTATGTACAACTATCAACAATATATTACATACACAGTTGTTGTGCTTATCGACTACATGATCTTAGATAGGAGGTTATGAATTAGCATTGTTTTACTTATATTTCCATTCTAATAGTCGTGGTATTTGTCCTATAGTTTCTCTTGTCCTCTTTTGTCGCTTATACGTCAATTATCACACTATTTTATTGTAATTACTGTTCCTTTTTTCACGATGCTTTATCATGCTTTCCATAATATTTTATCATAATTTCTTCACTTTCGATTATTTCTTTTTTTATTCTCTTTGATATATTTTAAAAACTTCAAGCAGATAATTAGTGTCACTTGCAAATCCTTGATGACAAGATATACCAACATTTAAAATCTACTTTGCCTAATTAATTAAGTTACAAAAACAATTAGTAGTACTCTGTTACATAAAACTAACGCATACTCAAATCATTTTCATGCATAACAATGCCAATTCAATGGCAATATATATATCTGGAAAATTACTTAATTAAAATAATCTCCGCCGGAGAACTGCCACATCCCGGCTCCGCCACCATTGTTATAATTCCGACCATACGGATCTGGAGCTCCGGGAAACGGCCAAACGGCACCTCTTCCAATACCAAACCCCATATCCTCAATTCCACCCAGCGCTAAAACCCCAGGCCCATGAGAACTCAACAACGACGTGAAATTATTGATAGGCTTCACATCGGTACCAAAAAGTAATTGATTGGCTGCAGGAAGAGGAAGCACAAACGGAGAATTACCGGGTACTACGTGAGGAGAAACTGAAGCAATGGTGGAGGAAAAGGGGGTATTGGTGTAAATACGGGAGCGTTTGGCATTTTTGCGGCTACCTCCACCAATGGGGATGTCACGTAAAGTGCCCCCTTGGGTCCAGTAACGGCGGCAAGACTTGCAGAAATGGCGGGGCTGAGACAAATTATAGTTGTTGTAGTAGCAGAACTTTGTGTTGATAGAGTCACAGCGTGGGCAAGGAAGCTGATGATCAGGTTCTTGTGCTGGTGATGCTTGCACACCACCTGTTTGTTGTTTGGTCACTAATTTTTCACTTGCTTCCAAAGTCATTTTTGCAGAGCAATTAAGTTTGAGCTAGTAGAATTGTGGGCCTAATGGGAAACAATGAAATTAATGGCATTTTATTTATAGAGAGGAGAATGATAATGTGAAACAGAGTCTTAGTGTGTTCTGTTCTGAAGCTTACGTGCAGCTTTTGCAGGGATATTTGCCACGAGATAGTATGAATTTTTATCTCCATTTTAAAATGAATGATCTAGTTTTATTTGGTATGAAATTTAAGAAAATAAAATACTTTCTTAAACATGTCATGAGGGAAGATAAAATTAAAATATTGTCAAAAAAAAGAAAAAAAATCATTTTTTTTTAAACAAAAGAAAAGTAGGTCATTCTTTTTTAGACGGAGGGAGCATATTTAGACAAACTGGAAAAATGCAGTGACTTTATTTGGGTCGGCTTCAAAATGGGGGCTATTGTTAGTCTATCTCACTGCTTGCCTTGTGTTTTTCTTGCTACCACTCCTTTCGTTTTGTCATTTTCTTGTCATGACATTGTGATTCCTTGTGTCCCTCATCTTTCTTTTGGTCTAAAGTGATGATCACTTTTTTTTTTCTTTTCAATTAGGTTAATAGGTTCTGAATTGGGTATTTTTAGCTTCCTGAAATATACCATATCTGTGATAAAACTATTTTAACTTGTACCATATTTAATGAAAAAAGATGAGAGTAGGGGAATCTTAGTGATGTCTAAGACACGATGGTTAACTATCTGAATTTTCACTTTATAATTTATTTACTAGTCTATTTAAAAGAGAATGACTTTTTTTTTGTAACACTTTAATTTCAATTTTCTACAGAACATTTTTAATGACACAAGATTAAATGACATTCTTATACACTAACTTTGATTTAGGACCACAATGCAAGATTAAAAAGTCTTCCTTATTTTCTTAAACTATGTTTTTTTTTTTTAACGGAGGGAGTATGTTATTTTGAAAAAGTCTTTAGCTTTTCAATGGTAAGGAAGAAGTATGAACGATACTCCTTTGTTGTTGCCGAAGGTTTGTATGTTGTAACCTTAGTGTCTATGATCAACAAAAATTGTAGAGGAATGTTAAGTACTCCTTTATTTTTAATTAGAGATTTTGAGTTCGAGCTTTTGAATTTAGTCGGCTCAATATGGATATCAAACACCAGGTGAGAAACCAAAATATAAATAAAAAATCAACGCCTATGTCGATTTGTCACTCACATCTTAAGCGATCGAAGGCAAAGAGTACCATTTTTGCCGTATCACAAACAGAACAAGAAAAAAAAGAAGAGTATTTCCTCGCTTGCGTTGCAGGAGAAGTAAACAAAGAAGCCTAAAAATTTCTCTTGTTACAAACTAAAATTTGTCAAATGTTAATTACTCCATAAAGTCATTTGATAGAGTGTATAAGAATAATACTGAAAGAATGTATTAGTAATGTTGGAATTATCTTATCCATTGTTTGGCTCAATATATTAAGGGTTGTTTTGTCCTTAGTCATGCTTATTCATGAATATGGTATATAACTAATACATAAAATGAAAATCCTTCCAAACGAAAAATTAAATAACACCATAACTAATGAACATATATTATATTTTCTAATATATTCTACCAAACGACCCCTCGATACATTGGGTAGTTTTGATGGAGTAGTAGGAGTATTTAGAATTCAGAGTATAGATGGTCAAAAAGAGAGACAACTTGAGTCAGAAAAAGGAACCAAATCCATTGTGTTTATCTCAAGAAAGTCAGCAAATGAAGCAATAATATTATCAATTGGACAAAAGGGCAAAACCAAAAATTTGATCAAGACATGAGCTGATGGATGCATGTTAATTGAAACCAAACTAAGGCTGCTTCAATAAATAAAGAGGCTAGGCGTGTAAGAAGATGAAAGTGATTGAGGATATATAAATCAATCTTAGTACAGACACTATGTATTATAATGTCGGATTAGCGTGCGAGTCCTCTCTGTCACATGCATGCATACATGTCATTTTCTTCCTATCACCTCCCTCCTTCAAATATTATTGTAATATTTTAATCTGTTGTAACATGTAATTTAGAATTATTTATTTACGTTACTCATTTAACTTAATTGTTATATATGAACAATTTGATTATTTTTCTTTTAGATAATTATAGATATATCTCACATTGTTATATTTCACTATAAGTGGCGTACACATAAATTTTTATAAGTTGTATTAATATTTAAAAACAAATAAATTATTGATATAATAACACTATATATATTAATAAGAACTATTTAAAATGTACCAATAAAACATAAATTAAGTAAATTACTAGTACAATTTATTATTATGTTTTAGTTCAACTGATTTATTTTACCCTAGGAATTGGAGGTTGGAGTTCGCCAAGGATCAAACTCGGTAACACTTAAAGAGAATGATTGCTCCATCCGCTTACACTAAAACCAACGAGACAAGAAAGTTCACTTGTTCAAATAGTGTTATTAATATTATTTATACCGTATATATATAATACTAAAAATAATTCAACGAAATAATGTTGGTCAACACCTCTTAACATAGGGTGAGTATGTCCTGCTGACTATGAGCATGTTTGGTATCCAATTTCTCCATGTTTGATAGGCTAAATTGTCAAAATATTTTCTCTAGGAAAACAAGCTTCTTAAAAATGAGGAAAGTGACTTTGTTAAACAAAGTAAGAAAAACAAGCTACACAAATAATATTGCAAATTCATTATCTCTTTCCATAAAAAAAAATATCTTCTTTCGTACCGAACACACCGTATATCTCAAGTCACTTTCGCACTCCTGCAATTGAGGAATTAATTTCCGACAGACTCTCCTCTTTATTGTGTTTCGATTTGTCACTACTCTCATTTAAAGTCACGTTTGCAGCGGCGATTATTAGTCTCTCTAATACACATAATATGTGCTAAGGATATTCAATTGTGGTTCATTGAAATATCCTTCATCTTAAAATTATTAGACTATAAATATAAGGTTAAAACGATATTAAAGAGGGTAACAAAGTTTCAACAAGTTCGTTGAACTAGGTTCAATAACTAAAACCAAGTGTGACGTAAAACAATAAAGAACATAATGATTAATGCACCATGAAAAATCTCCTTACTCAAAAGAGTAAAAACTATGATTTATTGTATAGAATTTTCAACAATCATCACTAACACTATTAAAAATCTGTTAAAAAACGACGGCCAAAAGCGATGGACTGCGTCGCTTTTTTGGTCAAAATCGACGGAAAAGCGACGCAGTCATCTCCGTTGCTTTTTAGCTCGACGCTTTTCAAAAAGCGACGGACTGTATTGCTTTTTGACTATTTTTATTAACAAAAGCGACGAACTCCATCGCTTTATTTTAATTTTCATTTTTTTTATTTCTAAAAGACGACACAGTCCGTCGCTTTTCTGGAAATTTTATTTTTGAAAATCCCAGAAGAGCGACGGACAAAAGGACCCTGTCCGTCGCTTTTCTGGATTTTTTATTTTTGAAAATTCCTGAAAAGCGACAGACAAAACCACGTTGTCCGTCGCTTTCTGGGATTTAAAAAAAAATAAAACCCAGAAAAGCGACGAACAAAACCACGTTGTCCGTCGCTTTTTCTGCAATATTTTGGATAGCAGAAACTAGCAGTTTTCGCTACCCATGTGCAAATGCAATTCAATTCAATTCTACACTATTCAACCAAATCAAACACACACAATTATAAACAATCTAAACAAAACATAAAACAACAAACTTAAAATAACATTCAAAAGTATCTAAATCACAAATTAAAGACTTATAAAGTCTTTCAAAATTCGTTTCAAAATTTCAAAAAGTTCATAAATGTCCAGAGATCTAAACTAGGGAGTGGGATCTACATAATCATCATCATCACTCTCGTTGTCGGTGTCATCGGGAGCCGAAGTAGTAGGTCGACGAGCGAGGTTCATCACTTGTTCTTTGATTTGCTGAACGGTCTCACTCATGTTTTCTTGTTCAGCTACTCTTCTCCGCTCTGACTCTGCCAATGCCGTTGTAAGTTTAGCTATTTGAGCCGACATAGCAGCAATCTGAACACCGTCAAGTGTCTCGGCTTGACGTACGTGACAATTCAATACCTTCTAAGCCTAACTGGAGTCATCTTACATTAAGTTCTAAGTTCAATGTTCAATGTTCAAGTTTTAAATTCAAGTTCATATCAAAGTTCTAAAATTAGTTATACATAAACTTCAAATCCAAAAATTTGCTAGTTATTATATTCAAGTTCAAGTTCAACTATATTCAAGTTCTAACTAAGTTCAACAACTTCAAGTTCTAATTAAACTCATCATATATATCCAATTTCTAAAATTAGTTATACATAAAATTCTAACTCAAGAATTAATTAGTTATATTCAAATTTCAAAATCAAGTTCTAAATCTAACTTCAATTCATCAAATTTCAATTCATCTAGATTAACACTCCACTAACTTATAACAATCAACCAATCCTAACAAAAATAAAAAACCCTAAATCATTCACTAACTAACTAACAATCAATCAAACTTATAACAATCAATAAAAAACAAATTCAATACTAATTAGCAAAATCAAAAACCCTAAATCATTCACTTACTAACTAACAATCAATCAAGCTAACAATCAATAAAAAACTAATTCAATACACTATCAAACACATTCAATCATTCAATAAATTACACAAATTCAATAAACTAATTAACATAATCAAATATAACTAAAATTGAAAAAAATTAAAACTAATTTGATAAAACCCTAACCTTAAATTAATGGAGAAAGAGACAATGGAGAGAGGAAGCAGCGACGGCAGCAGCTATTCCGGTAGCGGCGTTGACAGCAGCGGAGGTGGCAAGCGACGGATTCTTTAAAGAGAAGGAAGAGAGAAAGAAGAGAGAAGGAAGAGAAGGAAGAGAGGGAAAATGGGGAAAAATGCGTCTGTTATTTCAGATATTTACTGAAAAGCGACGGACAACGTCTCCCCGTTCGTCGCTTTTTTATTTAAAAAGTTAACCAATATTTTGACCAAAAAGCGACGGACAAAGAGACAGTGTCCGTCGCTTTTTTTAAATAGTTGACCGACCTATTTTGACTAAAAGCGACGGGCATAAAGA